TGAAATAGGATGAAATATGAACCACACCGACTTGTGTTTTTAACATCCTTTAAGTAATAGATAACTTTAACATTTACATCCATATTTCATTTTCAATTAATCAATATGAGATTACGCATCGAGCGACAACTCCTGCACTCCTGCAATTATTTGCACACAGAATGCAAGCCCACATGCCAGTTATCTACCACCTAGGGTAAAATAAACCGAGGTTCTCTCACAAACTTCAAGGGGAGGGGAGGTTGATGCTTGTGTTATGAAAACTGGACAGCAAGTCATGGAAGTGGGGGAATAGTTGGAACCAAAGTGGCCAAAACACCTATTAATACACTGATAGCTTCCTGGCAAGAGCAGGCTGTTCCAGTTAAAGAGACACTCGAAGGGTGAGGGGGTGGAAGTTTCCCACGAGTGTGTGTGGAGTCAGCCTGTAGCATCCAAGGAAGACGGGGAGGTATTTAAAAGTCAAGCTGCTCCCAGATCAATGTCTCCTGTATTAAACAGGAAACAACTCCTGCTGGTGGTAGGGACAAAAAACTGCTTTAAAGGTGACCTCCTGTAACTCCTTGAACAGGTCAGGATAGGTCTATGGGCTACACAGACATGTTCATTACATTTTTACAAAAATCATCCTAAGATAATGAGATTTCAGTCTTTTTTGAGCTGCTTTGAGGATGAGCTGTCTTAGGGCCTCTGTCACTTTAAATCCAAATAAGATGCTCCTGGCCACGCCCCACAAGTCAACATTTACAGCCACATATGCATAATTATTATACCAACAATTATGCAATTTTGCATAATTGTTGGTATAATACAATTTTGTCATATACACATACAGCACATACGAGAAAGTATTTCCTTGTGGCTTTCTCTGAAAGACCAACCTGTCCATGATTGTGTAGAGGAAGAAAAATGATACATGGTTTTAATTTTGATTTTTTTTACCCCTTTATTTGCATGTTTTCAATCAAATACCTTCTTTAGCAGTGAGGGGGAAATGTTTGTATGTGGGAACACATGGATTTCAGGGAAACCTAGAAGCTGTTTGTGAAGAAAACTGAAGGTTACGGTAGATGGAAAGGGCCAGATTAACTAAAAAGATCCTCTGCGATTATTTCAAGACCAGCTATTCTAAAAAAACAAAACAAAAAAAACAAAACAAAAAAACATACGGTCTGATAGATGTGTTTATTATCATTTATCAACCAAATATCCCTCTGTAGTGGAGCCTATAGGATCAGCATCATTCCTGTTAATAACTGCATCAGCTTCGCCATCCATGGCAACATCAGTCATGACTTGGGTGCCATTAAAGTCAAACTCTGGCTCAAATGAACAAAGTTAACTCCCTTTGCAACTTGAATGCTTCAGGTTCTGTGTTGAAATTTGTCAGCATAACTAGAAATGTTGCTTTCAGGTTTTGCTTGTGTCAATGGTGACATCCGTTTTTTTTGTTTTGTTTTTCTGAAGTCTGACCGAATTAGATTGTGACCGACTCATGGTTTTTTTATTCAAGAGAGAAAAACAAACATATAGTGAAGGTTCTTTGATACAGGAAGTTGTTTTGAGTCCAACAGAACATGAAAGAATTACATGATTCTACCTATTTTTGGATCATAGAACATGCCATATATGCCCCTAATTTTTTTTTTTATAAATAAACATAAAAAATGCAACCAAAGCATCTCTGTTTGAATGGTGTGTTTACAGACAAAAAATGAAGGGAGTTTATAGTTTTGATGCATTTAATATACATGAAAAACAATCAGATTTTTATTATTTGATCTAGAAACCTCCAATTTGGCCAGTCTGGTGAACTGATTGGTGCGTCTCTACACTTCTCTCATGCTAGCAGAGCAGTTCAATTCCTAGGCCTCTTGTGATGTCATCAACCTAAATACGTACAAAGCTGATGACCTTCTCTTTTCCCTCCTGTGAACTTTTGACAAACTTTATATTTTGTGAATTGCCACAGGGGAAATTCATACTTTATAACCAATCTTTTTTGTGTTGGTGTATATTTTAGAGTAACAAGAAAATACACATTTGGAGATTATCTTTAAAGAAAACCCAACTAGTCTGCAAGTGGTGGTGTAGTGATTGCTAATATGCATGAAAGTAACCCAGGAGAAATGCAAATTATTTGAGGGAAAAAAACAAAAGCTTTTGCAAGCTCTTCTAGGCTGCTGGGAGCAATTGAAATTAATCTAGTTTGCACCTGGCTGTTCTCCTTTTATGCTGTTAGCAGATTTAATGTGAACAAAGCAACTTTCTTTAACTGAAATGTTATGGGGGAATTTTTCTGCCATAATACAAGAGCACACATTTTCAGTCTGAAAGCAAGATTGCATGTCTTTTGTTCTCAAAACTTTTAATACTTTTGCTTACATTTTCATTTTGAAAGCAGGACTGCGTGTCTTTCTTCTCAAAACTTGTAACGCTTGTACTCAAAACTTCTCCTCGCACTCACACTTAGTCTCTGCTCGGACCCTCTGCTTGCTTTTGGAAATGCTTTTTGGCAAAGGCGCCTGGCAACCTCTCAGCCAATAGAATGAAAGTATTGCACTGGGTGCGTTTGTTTCCTTCCAGTGGGTGTGCCTGTGTGGCTACTATCAATTGTAGCAACCTGCACCACCCACTGCTGTAGGGAGTTAGTTGGTGAACTGCCTAATATCAGTAGCTGTTAGTGATCAGTAGCACACTGCTGGCGGATGTTTAGTGAAACACAAAGCAGAAAGCTGAGGTTGTTGTTTCTTCCTTCGTCATGGCTTCATGAGTGATGCAGCGACTGTATCCAGTTCTTGCAAAAGTGTGATGTGTCACAACCAGTTTTAAAGTTCAATTACTTTTTCACATCATGCCAAGCTGGTGTGAATGGTTGTTTTCGTTTTTTTTTTTAAATAAATCTGTCTATTTACAAAAAGATTTTAAATAAATCTGTCTATTTCTAAAATTTGCTTGATGATCTAAAATATTCCTTGGTAACAAAAAAGGTAAAACAGAATAAATATGTAAGTTTGCACATACTTTTTTTTAACAGTACTTTATCTTCAGGTGTTTGGTCATTACTGATATAATTCAAACATAAACCCTTCTGAGCCTAAATGAACAAGATTACAGACAATCCTACTGACTGTCAGAGGCATCTTGAGATCAGCTGTAACACAGACTGCTATGTGGAATCATTCATACACAAGAAATATCTTGGATGATATGAGTTACAGCTGCATTTTCCTTTGGGGTGAGTAAAGTATTTTTGAACTGAACTGAATTGAAGCCCTGCTTTAAAGAGCTGCTGTTACAGAGGTAGGTTGCTTTATCTAAGTAACGAGAGGAAACACTATTGAGCTCTACTAAATCACTGCCATCCTTGTTGTCAAATGTCAGGTCAGGATTACTCTGAACTCGCTGGTGCTGACTGAGGACTCACCCTTCATCTGCACTGCTTCACATTAATGGACATCATAACAACAGACTTATTCTATTCTCACCATCTGATACTTAAGCAACAGTAAAAGCAGACAAAAACACTTGCATCAACCTTCATATCCTTTATGACAAGAGAAACAGTTACAATAGCTGACTTAACGTGACTGCATCTACTGCCATTAGATTTGAAATAGGAACTTAGAATGTGGATCGTATTATCTTTTTCATTGAGATTAAATGAGATAGTTGCTACATAATGCTGCATTTTCCACAATATTATATTTTTGTTTTTAAATGCATTGCCAGCTTTTTCTGTTTAATACAAAAAAGGCAAGTATTCCACCTTGAGCTGTGCATTTTTTTAATAACACTACTGTACTTTCACCTGATGTCTCATTCAGTCATAAAACATAAGTAATTCCGTAAAACCTGTCTAAAGTTTAGATTCGTGACTTACCCTTGTGTGAGTGAGATGTCAGACTTTAGTTTCCTCCAGTGCTCGCATGACCCCAGCTGGAAAGCGTCTCATTCCCTCTGTCTAACAACTCTGACCAAGCCCACAGACTGAGCTGCAGCTGTCAAGTCAGCCGACATCACGAGCCCCCCGTCCTGTCGGTACTTTCAAAATAAAAGAAACAGCGATTTAAAATTTTTGTTTTAAACCTCGGTAGTCTTAACATCGGATGCTAATTTATTTTAGGTGATAAATATGGAATTCACTGTAAAACAACCCATTTTAACTATAGAACACGTACCGGAGAGGCATTCGAGAAGAGAACTATTGTGGTGTCTTGTTGCCTCATCTCCAGCAAAACAGCGCCATCTGCTGTTTAAATTGGATGTCTTATTGCTAGTCTTACTCCTTAACGTTGTTCAGTGTGTATTTTTTATATCTTGTATAATTATTGTGGGTTCCACAATAATATTTGAGCAATTTGTATGCAAAAAAACGAGAGTCTTCTGATAGTTCATCCCTTTCACCATTTCGTACCTTTGAACGAAACAATCTTTAATGTTTACTCCGTCAGATTTACCTATGTTGACTATTTGAAATTATTTTCCCTGGCCATAGCTGACTACAAGCCAATTCGTCCCATCAACCACATTTTTTTATACCTAAACATTTCATACTAAAAACAGTGTTTTTTGTAATTCAGAATTACAAATCAAACATACATATTTCTGAATATAAATTATCATAATAACATTTTTTGAAAGCTTGTTCTTACAGTACATTGTAGGCTATATCAAATTATTTGCCGTTATGATTCCCATTTGCACCAATAAATCCATAAAATATGACTGCTGACTAAATCAAAACAACTTATTTTTAACATAAAACATTAAACATATTTTCCTTAAAAACAGTAGACAAATTCAATCCTATTTGGGACTTATGCTTTTATGACAACTTAATTCTGTAAACAAATAAAATACTTGGCAAATAAAAATACTTCTCCGGCGCACATTAAATAGTTTAACAGGTGAGAAATGGAGCCGTAAATGCGTCAGTATGTTTACTAATCGCTCATTGGTCCAATCAGTCTGTTATCTGATCCAATCAAAGAGCGAAGGGGGTGACTAACATGCGCCCCACCTTGTTTCGATCACGTGACGAGAGCTCACGAAGATGGTGGAAGTTTCTTCTTCCTCTGAGTGAGACACCCCGATAGAAACCCAAACATCCAGTCGGACCAGGGCTGGGAGGACGTTCCAGTGTCGCCAAAAACATCCTTCAAACCTCCATTTGGTTCTCGGTAAGACTAAAGCAAATACCTGTTTGTCTCGGTAAGGTAGATTGGGGTTTCATTCTGCCATGATGATACAGGCCAGCAGGCTCTCAGGCTGATACGGCATCAGGTTGTCAAATCTGAAGACTTGCTGACGTTCAACACGTACACCGCAACTACACCAGCCCAGAAAATACAACTGCTCACCGTGACAGCTCACCGTCTCACTCTCCGAGCGGGACTTACTGTTCCCGGTGCTCGGCTACATTTGTTAGCACATTACCAGTTCGAGCAAGTTATGTAATGTTTGTCATGTTTATTAGGCTAGGGTGCCAGAAAAGGCTAGTGGAGGCTCGAGCAAGTAGAGAAAAGTGTCCCCTTCGTGATTTGAAACCTTTGTGTAGTTGGATATTCTTTAACTTCTACATATGAGAACTAATAAAGTAAACCCATTAACTTTGTAAAACCCAGCTGTCAGAAATGTTTTCCATTTACAAGGAAAGTGTCGACCACACCTGCTACTGAGTCACTTAATGAGTTGTACAGCTGGCTAATTACGTTCACCAGCAAAATACAAGGCAGTATCGGTGCCATTGAACTATTTTGTCACACTCTTTTTGACAATGGCTTTCTAATGGCCACTCTTCCAAAATTGAATGAATCATTATTGATATTTTTTTTAATTTTCAAAAGTTGACAGAAACTTAAACTTCTCTTAGGCATTGTGGGACATTGTGAATTTGTGGTGAAATTCAACTTTAGCAACCAATAATGTGTTGAAACCCATTTAGGTGTTCTAATTTGTTATAGTACAAGCAGAAAATGACCAAGTTCACAGGTTGCAATCTTTTCTCCATCTTGAAAAAAAATGGTGGCCCTGTGTACTGACCAATAGGTCACCTCCTGCATATTTATTTCGAAAGCCAGCCTTTATCATTGATATGTCATTTTCTGTTCCTCCATAAAATAAGAATATGCTTTTATTGCCCATTACTACCAAGAGCCCTGTGTTGGGTCTCTGATTAATACTCTCCTTGCCAGCCCTGTTAGCTTAGGTGGGCAGTAGTTTTACCATACTCTATTTTCAGATGGTGCTATGTGAAATGTTTAAAGCTTGGAAAATTATTTTATATCAGTCTGTTTTTTAAATGTTGCAGCCATCTCCCTGACCTGTTTGCTATCTAACAAACCTGTAAGAATTTCATAAAACATTTGGATTTATGATAAGATTACTAAATACATGTCCTAATTAATAAGTAGGATAGGATGCTAAAAGAAAATATTTTATATGTATATTTTTTGTTTCATTATAGTCTCATTTCTGTGCGGAAAAGGCTGTTAAACAGTCCCATTGATTGCTTTTTTTCTTCTTTTTTTATCCCTTTGAATCTTTTCCCAGAGTGAGTTAGTGTGAGCAGGCAGAAGTGTGGATGAATGGAGTCTTTTCTGTAGCTGTGTGCTCTGTCTGAATGTAGCTGTGAGCGCACAAGTCCTGCAGAGACAGCAGCATGGTACCAGAGATTCTCTCAGCAGTTCCCGCTCACCATGCTGTTTGATGCCGTTTGTCCTCCACCCTGCTGTTTCCTAACCAGACAGAGAGGTGGTGAGAAAGCTCTTGGTGGTCACTGTGTAAAATGTGGCGACAGTCTGAGTCGGAAGGTCTGCTTTCCATTAGCTGCAGATCAAGTAAAGAAGCTTTCTTTGGCTTTCAGATTGCATCTCTGGTATGGATGCACCGATCCACTTTTTTCACTTCCGATATCGATACCAATATCTGAGGCTTACTATGGACCAATACCGGTCTGATACAATTCAAATGACACACATGATGGAGTTCTAGTTACTCTAAATACAGGCTGATTGTCACTAAATAAATGAAAAGTGCTTAAAGCTTTTGAGAAATTGACAGAAGCAATGTCATAGGTCAAGACAATAATTCCCTCCATCAGTAAAGTAGGATTATTTTTCCCAATGTAAGAGTTTTTTTTTTTCTCTGCACTTAGGCTATGAAATTTAGCTCAAGTAGGAACTGCTGTCTCTTTATTTCAAATCAAAGCAATTATATCATGATAGTAAAAATGGTGATATTTCATTGTTCATGGTTGTCATTGTAAAGTGAAAGTCTCACTCTGGCCCAGTTGAGGGTTGGGTAGTTTTGTTTTCAGGGAGCTGCTAACCCTGGTCCCCTGTCAGCTGACCTAATGACATGGCTGCTGCAGCGAAAATGGCAATGGACTCGGCAAACACTTGACTTCAGGCGCTCTAGAGCAGTGTTTTTCAACCACTGTTCCGCGGCACACTAGTGTACCTTTGAGTGATCGTCAGGTGTGCCGTGGAAATTATTCAATTTCACCTACGGTACCGTATTTTCTGGACTATAAGCTGCTACTTTTTTTCCTAAACTTTGAACCATGCGGATTGTAGCCCGGTGCGGCTTTTCTGTGTATTTTTCGTCAACCACCAGGGGGCTCTCAGCAGGAAGTGAATCATTAGAAGTCAAAATTGTAAATCAAAGAACAACGCATTAATTTTCATTTAGAACAACCACATGCTAGAAGCAGGCACGACGGAGAAATGTTTTCAAACTCATATGGTGCAGCTTTTAAGTTGAGGGCTGTCAAGCTGCCACTACAGGATGGAAATAAAGCCGCTGCACTTAAGCTCGGTGTGAACGAAACCATGGTTAGTAGTGGCTAGCGGCGTAATCATGTAATTTTCTTACCACTAGATGGCAGTAGGTACAGAGCATTTTACATTAAAACAAGAGATGCATGAATGTTACAGGTAGCGGTGAGAGCATCGTATCTAGCAAGACTGTGACGACAGTGATGGAAAAGACAGTGAAGCTCAGCAGTAGTTGGAAAGAACAGGGTCCATTTCCCACATCATGTCTGTGTGAAGTGAGCTTCTCAAGCCTGGCTACTATAAAAACTGAAACCAGAGAGAGACTGACAGCTGTTGAGGAAGAGCTTTGTCTTTCTTCAATTTCTGCCAGGAAATCAGCTGTTTTCATCCAAACATGCACAGGTTTCACACTAGATGGGTAAAATATACAGATATTGACATTTTGTACATGCAAATCTTCATATTGTAACAGTGAAATGTTTCCCAAATATTATTGTTTCTTTCAGAATAAGAATTATTTTCTGTATTCTGGTTAAAAGAATGCTTGTGGATTAGTTTGTAAAACACTTTGAAGTTTTCTACAACTTCTTTAAATTTAAGACCACATTGTTGTGGCACTGTTCAGGTGTATTTTTGAAGTGGACATGTTACGTGCAATTTGAAATAAGAAATGTAAAATGTGATAAAGATACATTTTTGTGTTTATTTGATTCCTATTCAAGACACTTTGATAAGAATGACTATATGTGTAATATAGGAGGCTACAGAGTATCTTTGTTTACATTTTTGGTTGGTGGTGTGCCTTGAGATTTTTTCACTTAAAACAGTGTACCTTGGCTCAAAAAAGGTTGAAAAACACTGCTCTAAAGGCAGGACTGTGAGAAATGCCGAGCTGAAGGCAATTGGGAACATCGTGACATAATGGTTTTTATTTTCAACATGAGTCAATAAAAAGTGGCGCAGTACAAACACATTTGGATGTAGTCACCGATCTGTGATTTGAGGTGGTTTGTGGAGTCTCCGCTGTCACAGTGGAGAGTTTCAAACATGTCAACACTTCAGTGTTGGCTACGTAGACATCCTGAAGTTTAAAATTCAGCGAACACCCAGGCAAAGCAAAGCTAACCTTCTTCTGGATCTTCAATGTCGGCTGTTGCAATGAATTATTGACCAAGATCAAAGCCATGGTCGGAGTGAAAGTTTAGCTAGGAGCTGCTCGGTTTCTCTGGCGTGCATTCCTGACAAGCTGGAACAGGGACCATGCATTATTTAGAACCACTCTACGTGAATAAAACAGATTCAAGGACAGATTGCAGAATCTGGTTCCTGTACACATGTCCTGATTCCTTGGGATTTGACTTGTTGTGTTTTTTGTTGCTATAATATGGGATTCACATCATTCATGAATGCCCTGCGTTATAATTTGCTTCCTGGTTTTGGAGCAGACTCCTGTCTGCTTAGCACCACATATGCATTCGAACCACACCAGAATTCACCTCAGTCAGATCTAGATCTAGGTTTGTAGGTGGACCAGAGTTTGCTTTTTTGGTCTGCATCAGAGTTCAATTGTTCATTTACATCTCCCCAAATGAACCAGATTTTCTAGGCAAACAAACTAGAGTTTGATTAAAGCTGTCTAAACAGTCTTACTCTATATCTGCATCTATACCTATACCTGCATGATCTTTGATTACCTTTTTTTTTGTATATATATTTTTTATTTTAGTAAAACGGAGAACATTTTGGACTTGTGCTTTAAAGCTAGAATCTGCTGGTCAGACCTCAAGGATAAGGAGAAATGAGTATCTGTCTGGATACTGCTAACTTCACTTCAGTGTTGGTCTGAACTGTGAACGAATATTATTTATAGATGTCTAATTCACTCTTAGAATCAGATTTGTTTGAGTTTAACGCGTAAAGCATAAAGATGGTGTATGTTGGCCTTTGTCCTCTTATCTGTCGCAACGGTGAAACTTCCATTCCATTCACCTAAAGGCCTGACTGGTAACTCGTCTAGTCATTTGTGTTTAAATATGCCTCTGTGTTTTGGATTTCTACTTTCTGTTAGTGTTAGAAATTCTGGGGGGAGGGGGGTATAATAACCAAATATGTGTCTATAATCATCCAGTCTGTAGTTTTAACATCAGGAACAGGAATGAAAATGTATTTTTAATGTTTCCATTTCCTGAATCTGAGATGAGGCCTGTCATGACACCAACATTTACTGGACGATAAGTTGTTCCAGAAGATGTATGGATGAACGATAATATTGGTGTTTTTGAGACTGTCTTCAAGTAATATAAAGGTAAAAGAACATATTCTCAAAGACTCATAAACTTTAAATTCTAACAAACCTTTAACACTGGAACTGGAAGACAAATGAAATTTCCAAAATAAACAGAAACAACAAATAAATCAAGACTCTGTAAATAAAATTGTCCTTCAAAAAAAAAAAGATCCAGTTGAGACCAAAGAAGTAGACTGAAGACTTTTATCAACCAGTTTTTGGTACAAAGAGAGAGAGAAACGAGAAAAAAGATAATTCATGCAATTGGAAATTATAGAGATCATTTTAATTTATCATGCAGTTAATGGATTATTGCTTATTGTGACAGGCTTACTGGAGGGCTTCATTTTTCAAATCTCATTAGAGGCAACTGGACCAAAAAGGAGATCACAGTTGCATATGTAGAAATTCATTAATCTGACGTTTTCAATCAGTAACATCTGATGAATTCACATAATTTACAATTTGAGCACCAAAATTCATAACAATGAAAAATAATTTATCTGATATACAATAATTAACTGCATAAGCATGAAATGGAGTGTATACATATAATGAATTGCAGCTAGTTGTGAAATCTGAATTGGCGACGGCATGAATTATCCCAAAGCTATAGGAAACTGCTTGGTTTCCACCTTCTTGATGTGTTCTCTTCCCTTCAGGCCCTCTTCCCAGCCCTATGTCATGGCCAGTGGAGTCACCAAGTCAAGCACCTCCAACGGGTACCCACCAAAGGCACAGCTACAGATCACTGGTAAGGTTTAACACTTGGTTTTATGTGGAATTAGGTACAGGAAGGGGAAAAAAATGGTGGTTGAACCATGAGCTCTTTCAGTTTTCAGATTTTTGTCTTAAGAAGCACAAGGTAATGAAACTATAGCATGACTGTTCCTCACAGATAACAAGTCTGAAACGCCCTCTAACTTTGGACCAAAGTAAACATAGTCCACTTCTCTTTGTTAATGGACTTTGGATTCCACTGTAGACTATAATGTCAGCACTAATTGTTATTATTCTGAGTAATGTCCAGGTACTTTTACATGTCCGTATTGTAGTTGTTGGAGTACAGCAAACTTCACACTTGTGCAAGTTAATCTTTGGTCATCATTTTGTTAGTTGTTTTTTTTTTTTGTTTGTTTGTTTTCTTTACTGCTCTTACTGTAGATATGCACAGGTTAAAATGAGCCATTTTCTGATTTATGAAGACTAACGCATGTCTGGTTTACTTAAATAGTATGCTCATTTATGTCTCCTGTTTTGAATAGGAAATGAAAGGCTCCTCTGTGTCAATTTTACCCAGGGTACATTACACTGTAAAAACAGAAAATCTTACCAAGTACTTTGCCTAGATTCTAGTGTAAATACCTTAATACATTTGAAATGGGACAAAACTAACTTGCAAAACTTAAACAAGTTATAAGAGGTTGTCAATAATTCCTTAATATTGATGAAAAAGTTCCACTTTCACTGGCAGATTATTTCACTTGCAACATGAGAAAAATGTCTTGAAAACTAGTACTTTATTTCTCAATATTAAAAATGTATTGACTTAAAACGAGACCTTACATCTTGCTGAAAAGTTACTTGTAAGTTTGCTTTGTCACATTTCAAGTGTACCAAGACATTTACACTAAACTCTAGACTAGCGGTTCTCAACGTGGGCGGTACCGCCCCCAGGGGGTGTTCAGAGTACGGCAGGGGGCGCTCGCGGACATTTTTA